TAAGTTAATGTAATCTTCCGGTGCAGCTAGATAGCAACCGAGCTACTTTCATGAAAAACAGTGACAGAAGTTCTGAAGTTAGTAATAATAACGCGTAGAGTTGAAGTGAATTTTTTCATGGCTGTAGCTCAAAAGACAACTTCCCTACTTCCACCAACAAAGACTGTTCAATTGTTTTCCATTTGCCATCAGCGAGCACAACACCAGACCTATCTGAATTGTTCAAAGGTCTGAGAAACAGCACTCATAAGAAACATAAGAAACCTATGTTGTTTCTCTCTTCTATCTGTAATAACAAGGGCTTGATTGATAATGCACCCTTATCCCAAGGATGCGCAGATATTTCCCACTGTTGTTGTCCGTCTAGGCGTGTTTTTGCTCCGGAATGGCAATTGCTATTTTTTCCTTTCAAAGTTGATAGAAAAACATGTTTTTCCAAAACATAGTCTGCAGTAAGTTGCTGTAACAGCTTGACACACACCTCTGGTGAGGCAAGAAGCTCATCATGAGCTTAACAGAGTGGTAGGTAGCAGTTAGCCTGTGCACTGCGGGGGCTGTTGTCATGGGTTCGTGGAGCAGAGGGAATGTGAATGCAGCTCTGGCAAAAACAGAGACAGTAAAACATAAAGATCTCTGACAATCCTGGAGAATTAAACTGTAGTTCTTTGAAACTAGCTCTGGTCGCTATGGTTTCCAATCAAGACAAATTGTAGCAGTGATTTATCTAAATCCTACTCAGACCGGAGAAGTCAGACTTATCTGAGGACAATCGCATTACACTACCACTTTCAGGGAGCCATTTGGCTGGCATATTTGAGATGGCTGCCACTGAGCTCCTGATGATTTACCCAGTGAGATAATGCTGTGCATTTAACTTTGTCCAGGAAACAACTTTGGTTGTTTCTCTCCCTCTACCCCTCTATTATCTCTCCGTCTCTGCCTGAGTGTCTCTAAACCAGTGTTACATTAGTCTGTCCCCAGTCAGACAGACAAAACACCCACAGGAGCCGGGCAGAAAGGACTCTTCACTAAAAACAGAGTGACTGTGCCAAAAGTCCCATAGCGAGTGTGCCAGTGTCTTTACACGTGACTGCCCATCCGAACAATTCTCGGTTTTTATTCTCCGTCCGGGATGTGACAACATGTTTTTTTCACTGGAGTGAGGCAGTTCCCTTTCCGATGTTTGACCTTTAAAGTTGTGTAATATTAACCTATTGCAAAAATCACACTAATCCACTGTGGTCATCAAAAGCAGAGATGATGTATGTAATGACTACGCAATCATACGTGTAGAGCTGGGGGGGGGGGGAATCAAATGACAGAAAATGAATTGGTTTTGATTAACTGTTCGTCAAGAAAAAATGCAAAAAATGATCCATTTCAAACTCCTCAATTGTGCTGTTGTGCTTTATCATGTGACACCAAATTGCATAATTGCACATAGAGGTTTTTGTGCTAGTCAAACAAATGAAGACGTCTGAATACGTCGACTTTGCCTGAGGACCATCTTCTGATTAAAGCAATCACCAGATTTATCAATAACGAAAGAAAACAGTAGTTGCAGCCCCGCACACACACATCAACAGTAATACGTATTACAGCCTGCTGTGTTTGGTGCCTTCTGCACATTGTCTTTGCTCTGAATGGGAGGTCTTGTTACTTCCTAGTGGGAGCGTTTGTCTGGCAGCTACCTTTGTGTCACCTACACTTCCTCGGAGGATGCGTTCTCAGTGTGTTCTCTGTAAAGTAAACCTAATCCCCAGGGTTGTTAAACACTGTCCCGGATAGATGGTTGGATGTAAAGACGGGCAGCTGCTTTGTGGACGCGCTGCTTCTTCGTCACGCCACTCCGGTCCTATTGGCACATGCAGTACTGAAAAACAAACAAAGCTATGTAGAGATTCAAGATAAGATTTATAGCATGTCTGGCCTGTTTTTCTTCATCCTTTAATTCTCCGACACAATATCCAATCCAGTGCGGCCTCATTTTTATGGTTTGAGACCTTTCAGCATACTTCCTTTCATTTTCACTGTGATGTTCTGCAAAAACTCCACGCCACGTTTCCTGCTAACTTCACACAGATGCAGTCATCAAACAGTCACTCCTGGTATGTGCACAGTAAAGCCTGGGTGCCCTGGGGCATGCCACTGTGCAGCGTACTGTGCAGCTTTCATTGGGTTTTGTGTGGGATTTGATATTAAAAAAAAAAAAAAAACACTGGAGGGGGAGAAACTGGGAAGAGATGCAAGGACTCTGATGTTATCCCAGCAGGAAATCTCTTATCAAAAAGTGCAGTAAGTGATAGAAAGTGCACACTCCTCCAGCCTCCAGGAAGACACTTCCCAGACTTGTTGAAGGCTCCTACTGTTTTGTGCATGTGGTTCATTTAGTTCAGTTTCATTCAACATTTCAACCGTCTCCTGGCTGATAGTACTGCTTTAATACACGTATAAAAGATTCAGACGCCACAATAAAATAACTATAAAGTTGTAATTAGAATATCACAATGATAGCGCTGTTGCTAAAATGCCACAAATAGTTGTCGTGATTAAGATTGGTATTTAGCAACACAGCCACGCTACGTGCGCAATGGGAATCACTCGTTGGATTCAAATGCTCTTAACTAAGTTAGAGCAAGTATTACATTACTGCAGGAGTTGGTGAGAGAAGACGCAATAATAAACAAAAAACGCAAATGGACGCAACTTACCCTGAGTGACAGCAAAATGAACAAAGTGGCAACATTAACAAGTTGGCGTCTTATCCATGGCAGAAGACTCGTCCTGCGACTACTTTCTCTCCTCACAGCAGACAGCAGTGGAGCATGTAAAAAAAAAAAATCACTGTGACTATTTTATATATCATTAACACCGAGGACAAGTGTGGCTTCAACTCGCTGCGTCTCTTTCTGTCTCTCGGACCTGCACGCTTAGGACCGACTCCAGTTGCTGCGCACTCTTTACACACTGTTGCTAACGTCGCTGTCCACGCACGCGCAAATGAAGGGGGCAGGACGATTCAACATATAAGAAAAGCCTGTTATTTTTAGCCTGCGTTGTCAATATTTGTTAAACAATTATATATAATCATAATATAATAATTCAATGGCTGCCTGGCTACTAAGGTGTACTTTAGGAGAACGTCAAACATAGTTCCGGTCAGTAGTTTAATCACCGTTCTAAATCAAGGCGCAAGGAACGTTACATTAGAGGTATCCATGGCAACAGTACGTATGCTTTATGAGCGTTAACTCACTGTTGAAATTGAGGGTTGAACTTGCTTAAAGTTACTTAAAAACAAACTTTAAAAAGTACACGGTTAGTCATTAGGCTAGGATTTTACTAATATTAAGTCCACTCATGGGACACCTCTTGGAGTATAAGCTCACATATGTCCAAAGTGTCCCAATATCTCAGTAAATCATTTCAAGTGCCACATCATTATGGTCACCGCTCCGTTACAGGGCACACCAACCACCATCAATCACTGACACTGATCCTAGGCAACTTTTGGTAAACATGGCTGACAGTGACGGGACTGTTTTTCATGTACTGGGTCTAATCTTTCCTTGGGTTTTTATGAGACTTTTATTGAACTCTTATTTGATTTGTCAACATTGCTGTTTCCTGGCCAGCATCCGGTTTCCATCGGAATATAACGTTATCTGATAAGAAAGACGGTCACGACAGAGACACAAAATTTGGGAAACCGCAGCACAACTTTATGTTTCAAGAACTTTATTTGCCATTTGTGCTTGCACACATAGGAACTCATATGCGGTTGTTACTCAGAGAGTCAGGTCAAGTATATAAAAGAAAGACACACAAGGAAGACATATATCTATCTATAAAAACATATACATATGTTACCTCCTGTCAACATCGCAAAGCACTAATGCAGGAGTTTGGTTGAACGATAAAGGTGTAAATGGAAGCGGCTGTGGCTGCCATTTGTCCCTTCAGCTTTCATTAGGTTAAAGAAGAACTGCGGCGTGTTTAGTGTCAATCACACATAAGATGATACCATTTTTAGTTCCCATGTTGCATGATGCAGTGGTAAAGTACAGAAGCTATTGTGGAAAGTGACACTAGAAGTAATGGTTGTGTTTTGCATCCTGAGCTGGGGGATTAGGAGTCTGAGGTCTGCAGAAAACCACTGTTATTCCATGTTTCCAAAAACGAAAATATTATTGTACGTTATGTCGCCTCTTGCTTTTGCCTTCAGTGTTGTGGCCGGTGAGTCACGGCTGCTCAGAGATCATATCTACTTTCTCAGTTTGTCACGTGAAAAGGACTTTTGTAAGCCTAGTCATTCAGAACGAATCTGTCCCTTGTAATCTGATCATTTTGGCCTATTATTAAAAAAACTTGTCAGTATCAGATGTGGAGAGAGCTTACTGTTCTCACGTTGTTCTTGCATGAGCAGTAATATGGTTGTTAATATGTGGACTAAATCCAGTGTGTGCTGCTTGTGTTGACAATCATTGACAGCTTGCTGCTTGAGTTACTGTCACTCTACAATTATTTTTATTAGACTGCTATAAAACGGTATTGTTGCTGTTAACTCTGTGTGTGTGTGTGTGTGTGTGTGTGTGTGTGTGTGTGATTTATATTAACAAATCCTAAGAGGCTAGGGGCTGATAAGTCCATTTTATGAGTGTGTGTTTGCGTGAGAAGTGGGTAAAAAATGAAAGTGTTTATGAGGTTGATTCAAGGGAACTGTATAGTGTTTACAAGAATTAGACTCTTCTGGGGAAGAGACAAACAATTTGACTGACCATTCCCCTCGACC